TAGTGTGGCAGAAACTAGACGTCCAAATTAACATGGCCAACGGTATCTCACCCATTGTGGTGGTCCTGAAAGAGTGGATACCACTTCTGGAGAACGCAATAGGTCAGCTAATAGGGAAGACTGATTGTGCAGCTCATAGGAAATTTAAAAAAAAAATGTTTCTGGTTATGTTTTAGGTTTCTTTTTTTATAAAATTTTTCAAATTACATAGTTAAATTTCGCATAACAATTACTTTGTTAAAATATCGCAACTTCCTTGCTTAAAGGTGTTTAATTTGAAATGAATTTGTAGAATTTATCAACTTTGTTTGGAATTTGAGATATTGAGCCATAATAGTACAAATTTGCTCCCACTTTAATACGGGACTAAGTTGAACTACATTATAGTATTTTTTAAACTTGCTAATACGAAACACGCTTCAATCCTGCATATTTTAAGAGTTTTAAAAATATGAACCAATGCTTCTAGGAGTGTATTTTATCGCTTGCTATTAATAAATAAAATTTCATTTTCAAATTTAAAATAAACAAATTTAAATTCTAGATCCAAAACTGTTATCATATTCAACATAAATAAGTCAAAAGCGGTAACTTTCTCCATTGTAACGCTTTAAGTGAAAAATAAAAGTAATAAATTTGGTTCTCTGTTTTATCCACTATAATCTAAGGGCAAAGGTAGTTAAAAATGTAATTGATTACATTTAAGATCCGTGGTTTTCAGATCATAATTAGATTATAACGCTAATCATGATTGCAAGTAGTTAAAATCTATGATTGAAAATAACTATGATCAAAATTAATCGTGATTGCAGGTAGTTGTGATTACTTTTAATCGTAAATAGTAGGGGAGAGTGGTGTCAATTGTAACATTTTTTACTTAACTATTTTTAACTAACAAAAAATCCAATATATTATTAGTATTAATTGACAGACGAGTAAAGTAGACTATCCTTTACTAGAAAAAAAAATAAATACCTTATTTTAAATGTTATTATATTAGTTATTAACAATTTTTGACAGTCGTGCACTTGTTACAATTGTCCCCACTTACGGGGTCAATTGTAACAGTTCATAAATTCAACTAAAACATAGTTAATTATACATATTATCATAGTTGTGATATATTTTTTTATTGATCAAAATAGTAGTGATATTTTAGGAGTAAAAATAATAATGAGCAGAGACCTAAAGGGTTAAACTTTTAACTTTAAGGGGTTAAAAATTTTAATTTATGCTGTGAAAGGTGACAAATAAAATAATGCACATGCAACATAATATAAATGATATAGGAAACTATTGGTGGTTCTTAAAGAGTTAAGTAATGGTTTGTAAACATAAGATTATTTATTTTCAGCTGTTACAATCGTCCCTTTACTTATTGTTACAATTGTCCCCAAGACGCCATTTCAGCTTCATTTGTTAAAAACAATGCTAGTTAATTAGCAAAACTAATCTTTTTTTTATTGAAATGTTAATTAAGGTGTCCACTTACATATTCGGTTACTAATTTTTATTTGTTTAAACAAAATTACTTTGTTACAATATAATATTCTAATACCAAAAAAAGTACTTGCGTGGCGTGAAAATATCTTTTGTGATGTAACTCTTTCAAAAGTACATAAAAATGGTTGCCATCAGGGGTGTACATGTAGATTTGTTAAATACACCTTGTGCACCACCTAGGAACCAAATCTATAACCCGACACTCGAAATATTTGCTCTGTTACAATCGTACCCTGTTACAATTGACCCCACTCTCCCCTAATAAAAAATTTTCGTATTTGTAATAATAATTGATATGATAATAAATAAATTTTGATATGCTGTAATTGCAATTAAATTTTTTTATCATAAAATATAAATACTTGTGATCAATAGTATGAATTATTTAGTATTTTATCATTATCTGTATTCAAGTACTTTGCATGGTCGATTTTTGTAATCCAATCCCAAACTTGGTCTATACGTTTTTCTACCGAATAGATATTTCTTTAAGCCTTTTTACTCTTTTTCTTTCTTAAAAAAAATGAACTCTTTATCAAACAAGATACTGTTCAACCAGCGTTTTTTAATTCATTTCACATTATTAAGTTACACAAAGTTTTTTTTCGCCACTGGCATACAAATATTCTGTAATCAAGGCATAAAGGCATTTATATAGATTGAGTATGTTTTGATAAAATGCAAAGTCCTTTGTTTTTGATTTAGCTAAATAAATTTATTTTAATAGCCAAGTAATTACGATATAAAATTTCCATTAAATCTAAATAAAACAGTAGCGAGAAAATGTTTGACATGTTTCAAAAAATGACAGAAGTGGCTAAATAAGTTTCTTATACTAAAAATAAATAGGGAATAAAGACAGACATGATACTGTTAACAGAGAACCAGTACAAAATTATCAACTTTTTACAAGGATAATTCAATTCAAATTTATCATTTTTTTAACAAAATTTATTTAGCGAATTTATGTTGTTAAATTTTGATCTCATTTTTACAAAAGTAGTTTAAATAGTTTCAGAGTGTCCCCAATTATTTAAGAGTACTTAACTGAAACTAAAATTTTATTGAATTGCTACAGTTGAAAATGTGCAAAACGTACTCTAAGAAATATTTGTTAATTCTACAGAAAAAAAACATATTTTTCACTGAAAAAAAACTGTTTATAGAAAAATACAGATATTTTTTTCTGTTTTTTAACCGTTAACAGCTAATTGTAAAAATTTCTAGTTTTTTTAATGACTTTCTCTGTATATTTGACGGTGTAGAGCTGTTTTGTTGACATAACAGTTTTTATTTGCTTCTTCACCCTAATCATAAACTGATTAAAACTGTCATTTCAAATTCTAGCTTTTGCCATTCAGTTTTGCCTTTCGTACAAAATCTAACTTTGCAATATATAATTTTACAATATAAAACTTTACCTTTTGCAAATCATTTTACGATTATTTTCCATACTTGCTCTTACTTTTTAACAATTATTTGATGTTTTTGTACATCGTATAAATAAGACTGAAAATCAACTCTATTGTCAAAATGAATATTATGCTTCTTTAGATATAATTTTTTGGCAAGTTAAATTACCAGACAATTTTATAAAGAAAGGTCCTATAATTTTAATTATTTTTCACATTAATATGATTTTCATAAAACGTTTAAGATAAAAACAATTTAAAATTTTTCTTCATAATGAGAAGCAACTAGAGCTTTAATAGCTCTGGGGACAGAGCACTCACCTCCCTATTAAGTGACGCAGGTTCGAATCCCAGCTTTGACTGATTGTACGAATTCTACTCGCTGCTCTCACCTACCACAATATTCATTTCATAGTTATTTTATAGAGTTTTTTGTTAAAATAACGGTCTTTTTAGAATACAGATATCCATTTTTAAAAAAAACTGTATTTCTTTGCTTCATACTGGCTAGCTAGCTGACAGCCTTTTTTTCTTCACAAATTTAACAGATTTTTTTTCACAGATTAGATATGTAAATGCACTTTCCCATTTTAATTTTTTAGCTGATTCTAATTTCTGAGTTCCGTGAAAATGAAAAACATATTGTTCCATTTTTTAATTACTTTACTTAAACTTTCAAGATAATTCTCGTTTGCGAAAATTTCTAATAATTCTTTTAGAAAGTAATATTCTGCAACACTTTATACTGTCTAAATTCATTTTCCACGACAAGCAAATTTTTCTTTATCCCTAAAATGCAAATGTATTCACATTTTCTTCTTTTAATAGGGTTCTTCATAATTTGGTAATCCATCAAGTTTGATAGCTCTATTTTGAGTTTTAAATGAACTATTTTCTCAGATTTAAATTAAAATTTCAGAAAACGTTATTAATCAAAGCCATTATATATTCAGTAAATGAAAATCGCTAAATATATATTCTTTTAATTGTTAAGTTACGTGAACTATGATATTTTTTTAATGTTCTATCACTGATAACTTTGTTAGTTGCAAGCTTTCTTTTTACGTAGAATTTAACTAAAATGTGTAAAAATAGATATATTTTGTTTTAAGAAAAATATTGCTGACAACTGAGACATTTTTGGACATTTTTCCAAACGAACATACTAAATATTCTAAATATTTCTTCAAATCATATAAAAACTTTTCCTTAACTAAATCTTTGCTGTAAATTTTGGTATGTTTTTCAATATTGCATACTCCATTTACATTTTTATTAATTTTCTAGTGATTTTTGGAAAATAATTTTGAATATGTATTAAAAAAATTAACAATAAATGTGCTTTCTTTACCTATATTGGTACTTAAAAATATCTTAAGCATCTCCGTGGTTGCTCTGCATAATCGAAAGATAATCTATCCTTCTTAAAAAGTGCTTTTGTTTATGGTTCAGTCATGCATCCTTCAAACAGGAAGGCTTCGTTGAAAAAAAGCTATAAAACAGTCATTTTATTTTGTGCCTCTTTATTAAAATTAGTTTTTGTAGTTCACTAGTTTTTTTAAAAAAAAGACCTCGATCTACATTTTGTTTCATTCCATTTTATGCCGCTAGTCGGCTTAAAGCCTTAAAAATCCCCTTTTTGTAAGGATGTTTGAATTCTAAATAGATGAGTGCAGCTCATGCAATCGGTTTGGCTAAACATTGGACGTCTGCAGTGATTGCACCCTTCCGTATAGTGTCTTAGTGGATTGAAAAGCGTTTTAATTTAATGTCTTCAGTGATTTCAAAGCCAGTAAAGTTAATCCATGGTTGGGGAGCGTGGTACGGAGTCAGGGTAATGAGACTGCTAACAATTTCTGTCCCCCTCCGATTAAAATTAGGATTATGTAATGGGTGCTTGAACCAGTAATGTCTTCGGATCATCTCTAAAGAGGGATTTTAGATCTGTGTATTAGCATATCTAAGCTAACATTAGCTGCCAAACTGTGTGATCACATGACCATTAAACGATACAATTTTGAAAATAGAATTGGGTGTGCTATTATTGTCCATTCCATAACCTCTTATATTTTTTTATAATTGCAGAATATCATTGGTACTCTCCTGCCCGATGGACCTAAAATACTATCCCTTGGACAAGCAAACATGTTCTATAACAATGGTCAGCTGTAAGTACTTCATTTACTTCTTGCTGAGTTCTTTCTGTGAATATCGTAGAGTAAAACATTAAGTTTTTAAGAAAGCAAAACAGCATGAATAGAGTACAAATAAAAATACACAAATGGACATATTATAGTTTGGGGCTCTATAAACAGTAACTTCCTTAGTGCACGTAGCACAATATCCTGTCCTCATTTGCAAAAAGCATTTAGTTACAGTTATGATTAAGTCTCTGTTTCTCTTAAAACAAATCGATTTTTAATCTCGTAATAATCGATTTTTTAATGTCAACAACCTAATTTTAGATGGATACACAACAGAGGATTTAGTATTCCTGTGGAAAAAAGAAGAGCCAGTTCAACTCGTAAAAACTCTTTACCTTCCGAGGTTTACTCTTGCTGCTTTTCTCACTGATTACTGTACTAGCAAGACAAATACAGGTAAAAATCTTGTTACTTTCCGAACTTATGATCTTTTAAACAATTTATCAAAATAATTTTGATGCATTAAATTATGGGAGATAGGAAATATTTATGACAACATTTATCAATGATTACATAGAACATTTTCTCGAATTATATTTGCTAGAATAAATAATTTATATTTTTGTTGCAAAAATTTTCGTTAGGTCTGATTATCAAACATCGTGACTAAGCAATTTGACAATCTTTTATGATGTTCGGCTATTCTGTAATATCTTGAGCCTAAGCACTGCACATTACATTGCTGTAAGTAGTAATAGGAGTAAATTATTAAACACTCTGTTAAGAAATGGAAGATTTCTGTAATTTTCTTACGGAAAATTCCCGTTTTTTCTAAACTACAGAAATTTACTGTACATTTACATCTCAATAAAGAATTTTTTCAGTAAATATTTTTTTTTTCCTTTTTTTTCAAAAACGAAAAACTTTAATAAAAGAATAACAACAAGCATGGTATTTGTGATATTGTTTTCTTCTACCTTTAAAACGAATATTTCCAGATTTTATTGTAAAAATACATTTCGTGAAGGCAACAAGTTTTTATTGCTTGACTTTGCTGGACCAGCTTTTGTTTTACACATCTGAATCGCAGTGATAAGACTGTGATTGAAACTATATAAAGTTTCGAAACTTACTTTAATTGCTTGTATATCTATATATTTATATAGGTATATTGACAAGTATAGTGCGCAAAATAAGAAATGGACCGCCTAGAATAACTTTTGAGCTAATGATCGGATCATTCCGTTCTAGGACTCGATCTTAATGGTTTAAGTGAATAACCACAAATTTGCTAATTAACTAGCACAGACGTTATTTTAAGTTACGAAATCAAACACTGAATAAGCATATTTTTTTTCGACGGATTCGGATTTCTGACCCCCCAAATATAGGGTGTAGACGCAATCTGGAAAATATGGTCCCCATAGTTTGGGCAGGAGAGCGGTTCAATGTTTTGAACCCTTAATGTTAATTTTATTTTTTACGTATTCCACCATGTCTCAAGAACTTATAAGTGAATTCAAAAACTTTTCCTCGCAATTTTAAAATTCGTTAATCCAAATATAATCCCATGCAAAAAATAGCCATAAATAAATATTTATTATTTTATTTAATATGAGTCAAAGAATTGTAAGGTATGCAATTTTTTACATCATTTTAAAGAATGTAATTTTGCATAGCAAAATACAAAATTTGATCGAAATTGGTAGAATTTTAACGAAGCCGTATTCTTAAAATTGGATTTCTCAGGAACTATTCAACCAATTTCTCTAAAATTTTCTATTTTGCCATTAAAATAACATTCTTCCAAATGATGTAAAAAATGCATATCTAACAATTCAACAATTTATTCGACTCTTATTGAATAAAATAATGAAAAATAATAATATTAACTAAATAGGACCATAACCCCTATTAACCCTTTTTTTTATTATTATTATTCTGCAAGCGCTGTTTCATACCTTCCGCCTTCAACAAGTGTTGCGCACGATTATGAGTGTGTATTATGGTTATTTGTTTTGTATTGTATCAATGTGTGTACAGATCAAATTTCACTAAAACCGGTCCAGTAGCTCTAGAGCTAATCGACCAGGTCTGCAAATTCTCTTATTTTCTTACATCAGTGTATCTTAAAGTATCTTCTTTTCTTATGTGAATTTAATCTTATTTAATTTTTAAAAAAAATATTTTTAAATATTTATAGGAGAATACAGCTGCCTTAAAGTGGACCTCTTATTTAAACGTGAATTCAGCTATTATCTAATCCAGATTTATATTCCATGCTGTATGCTCGTCATCGTCAGTTGGGTGTCTTTCTGGTTGGATCCTAATGCCATTCCAGCTCGAGTCTCCCTCGGCGTCACCACTCTCCTCACCATGGCGACTCAAATCTCGGGCATTAACGCTTCATTGCCACCAGTATCTTATACTAAAGTAAATAATTATTCTCTTGAAACCACTTAATATTTTATAACAGGCGACCTATTTTTTGGGTTTACGACTATCAATATTTGACTCCTTACTTTATAATTTTGAGTGTAGGGGGTCAGAGAACTGGCCTTGAGTCAGAAAGGTTCTGAGTTCGAATCTCGGGCAAGGCATGGATGTTCTTTCATTATCTGTACTATCTGTCCTTACTATGGGAGCAACGTTTGCCCACCAAATATGTTGCCCCTGAGAGAATGACCAGCAAATCTTCCCTTCAGTTGCCTGTATTGACGAAAAGTCATTCTCCAGGTGTGTTCCGGTACGCATAAGCAAACTGCAGAAGAACTGAATTTTGAACGATGTTTATTTTTGTTTATGTAAAAGGAATACCTTTGTTTCGAATACTGTACGTTACGTTATCTTAGAATAAAAATATTGTTTTCTTTGATATTTCCTATTATTATTAGTTGATAATCTTCAATAAGGTGGGCATAGGAAAAAACAACTTAATTATGAAACGATGTAAATCTTAATTAATAAAACGTAATTTTGAATCCGAATCAGAAGACAAGAAAACTTCTTGAACAAACAATGGGACAAACTAGCCTTCAGGCAGGTCCTTTTGATGAAACCAACTCACAATTTAATTACATTGAAAAGAAAACCGCGACAAACTCTCACAGTTAACCCAACGATTCTAACCCATGATTCGTCTACTATTAGGGATTTTTTTACGTCAGTACGAGGTTAGAACAGGATTTATATCAGCTAGTCATGACTCGTATTTGATTCACAGTCGAGTCGCCATGACTCAAACGCATACTATTTGTACTATACAATGTCTGGCTTCATAACTGCCCCACAAGTTATTGGTTATTATAGACATATTTTTACTTATTTACAAACTGATTCGCACACTTATTTGTTCATCAGTACATTGAATTCCTAATTTACCATTCCTTGATTCACTTACTTTAGTCCATTATTCATTTCCTTTTCAATCCACTTGTATTGGAATACAAGGGAATGAAATCGCAGAATCCACTGCAAAATCAACTCAAAACAACAGGCCTGTTTTTTGATCAGATGTAATTAAGACATTTACAGACAAGTTAACTTCGAACTGGCTGACACAATAATTACGTCAATTGGTTATAAATTACATGGAATCAAACCGTTAATTACCCCCATTTAAATCCCTAAATAACTAAAGAAGGATTGAAGTACTGATAAATAGTTTACGTATTGACCACACAAGATTAACGCATAGATACCTTTTGCTGAACGAACCAGCGCCTGTTTTCTACAGTTGCAATGAGCCTTTAACCCTAAAGTACATCTTAATGCACTGTTCTAATTTAAAAACTTAGAGACGTCATTATTTTAATTGCGTTTTTCCTCATTTATCGACTTTACTTGATGACACCCCACACCGATATCTTATTGACTTTCTTAAAAGCACTGGATATTTCTTCTTAATTCAAGTCATAGTTTTTTATCAACCATGTTCCGTGCAGAATAGCCTATCTTGGCACTTGCTCAAGAAAACAATAACTTACCAACTCAATCCACTAGCTACATATTCACTGATAAACTGTACAGTCACGCTATTTATAAATAAAACAAATTTGCTACGACTTTAAAGTGTGGTGTTGCACCATGTTTCCATTAAAGTTGAACAATGGTATTGTGCAATCTAGTTCAAGTGCTTGCATAACATAGCTCAAATTTAATCTCTCACAATATAGCTGTACCAAATTTGAACAATAATATTGCTCACCACGCTCCAAATCAATATAAATAAAATACTCAACATAAGTATAATCAATCAGCTCCAAAATTACTGAGAATACTGAGAAACCCAGCATGGTTCATAAAGAGATTAATCTTTATGAACTATGAAATCTTTATGAACGACGAACTTATTAAATAATCACCGACATTAATTTTTTTTTCTTTTAACTTGTGTGATAGGCCATCGACGTCTGGACAGGAGTGTGCCTGACTTTCGTCTTCGGGGCATTATTAGAATTTGCTCTGGTGAATTACGCTTCCAGGAATGAGGACCACAAAAAGCAAGCCAATCAGCGAAAGTGGGACCTGGAGCGTGCAGCGGCTCTCGAAGCAGAGAGACTTGAGGACGCCGCCACTGCTTTCGGAATCGTAAGTACATTGACAATTATCATATTCTACTAATTATATAACTTTCATATATATATTTGTGAAGAATTTAAATGGAATAAACTGTCACCTCATGGGGATGATATAATTATCGAGTCTGTCCATCTTCATCTATCAAGAGGTATCCTCACGATAGAATCAAGTTAACATGTCTTATATACTAGAGAATTGGTATTTAATATTTGAATTTTACCTGTGATAGAATCCGATGAACACTAGTTGATTATTGCTGTTTGTTCAGATTTTTCCCTCATTATATATTTTTGTTGGTATTTCTTTTCTTTTTTTGTTATTGGCCGGGAGAATCGTATTTACTTTCCGGGATTTTAGAGCGCTATTTTGTGACCAACTCGATTGTTCAATGTGGGCCATCCATCGGTATTAGCGAGTTTACATTACATCTGGAGATATGAGGAGATATAATTAACGACTAAGTTAGCCTTCATATATTAGAGGGTATTTTAAGATAGAATAAAGTTAACATGCTTTATATACTAGTTAATTTTAGAGAGCAACTCGACTGTTCAATGGGGACCATCCATTGGTATTAGCGAGTTTACATTACATCTGGAGATAAGAGGGGATATAATTAACGACTAAGTTAGCCTTCATATATTAAAGGGTATTTTAAGATAGAATAAAATTAACATGCTTTATATACTAATGAATTTTAGAGAGCAACTCGACTGTTCAATGGGGACCATCTATCGGTATTGCCGAGTTTACATTACATCTGGAGATATAAGGGGATATAATTAACGACTAAGTTAGCTTTCATATATTGAAAGATACTTCAAGAAAGAATAAAGTTAACATGTTTTATATACTAATAGATTTGTATTCAATATTTGAAGTGATAGTTAAGGCACTAAGAAATTACCTACATTAATTACCCACTGCAAGAACTAATCCTTATGTTGAAACTAAAGCTTATGTGTAAGCTTTGGTTTGGTTTATTATGCTATTTTTTAACTCTCCGCTAACTTAAATGAAAAAATACGTTCGTTTCGTTATAAAAAAACATAATCTATTGATAAGTTTCTCTTACGCGGCACCATATTGTGGTACATCCATCTATTGGCAACACTATAGTGTTATTATTCATGTTCTTAAGTTATCGAAAGTAATTATTCAAGTGGTGTTAAAAAATTAGTTATGCGTTGTGTATTTACTTAGAATAATTTTGTATTTTATAGAAATTAAAACTTTGTTACGAAGTAATTGTTTAGATTTCTTTTTTCCTCCTTTCTAAAATGGTTGCAGAAATTACTAACTTAAACGGTGCTACGGTGCCGTATACTGTCATACCGATTATTGAGGAAGCCTTTTTCAAATAATGACGCATTAATATATATTATACGATACTCTAGTTACGGATCAAGAGTAGTTCATCACATAATGGAGCATTAGTTTGAGTTTTTTGCTGAGTTGAAATAGCAATACCAAAAACATTTTTTTCTTACGTGTTTATCAAACATTCTGTGTAAATCACATATGTTCTATTTCAGACAATAAAATAAATTATTGTTGTTTTAGTTTTCAAAAACTATGAGGTATAATCAATAGTTTATACTTATATAATATATATATATAGTAAAAATATAGGTGTAATCAATCAAAATTACAATAGATTCAAACCGCTTGCGTAAATTTTACAATACAAATCACTTTCTTAGAAGCCAGAATAGAACCAAGTCACTGGCTTAGAAAATTCAAATGATTCAAACCACGTTTGCTTGGACAATAAGAAACCTCAATAAACTTCTTTAACGTAGAAATCAAAATAGAATCAAACCCAATTAGAATTCTTTGTCTAAATTTGTTTTTCCTGTATTATCCTTCTCTTTGCAATGTAGAAAATAATCCTGCTGTTTTCCCTGTTAAGGGCCCAGCCCCAACGCAGGTGAAGTCCTTATACAAGTCTAGCAGATACCAGTACAGACCAGCCTCTTTTCCAAGCCCCCCTGAGTTGGAGAACGAGGTACATAAAAATTTCAAATAGCAAAAATATTTTGTCTTTTTCATTCTCAAATTGTGTCATTATATCTACGTATTTTGGAAAACGAAAAAACCGAGAACTGTGAATATACGAAAACCTCGCAAACCCCATCGAGATCCTATATTCTTACTACGACTTTCTTATTTTCCATGACCCGTATTCGCTGATGGAATTATAAAGAATCAAAAAAATATTACTAGTCTAATTTTTCTATCAAAAAAATATATAAATTTAATTTAGAAGCTTACAAAAATGTGTCAAAGATCTCCGACACCCATGCGCTTTTTTTTTACATTGGTGAATTAATAATTACTAGGAGGCTTCGCTCCCTGCTCGCTGGCGCTCGCCAACCCCCGGAACTGCTTTCGCAGTTCATTTCGGATTGCTTCGCAATCCAATGCTCGCTTTGCTCGCGCATTGGATACGTTCTTAACGTCTAGCTTTTGTATACTTTTTTGAACACTGAAGTTCCGAAAACTTTTCACTGTAGAAAATTCTAAACCTGTGCATTTCAATATTAATTTGAAATTGCAAACAGTTCACATATTTTTCTTAATCACACTATTCTAAATTTCAGTTGTTGAGAAAAGTAACTGTTGTAAGTTTTGTTTTAAAGTCTTTCCCACCAGAGGGCTAAAACCATGTGTTGTAAAACAATATGAAATAGTACTGAACGCCGGATGTAAAGCATCGGCTTCGATGAAGATAATTTTGTGAGAATTTTTTTGATAATTCGGTGAGAATTCACCCGATTAGACATATGATGCTCACTACGTGCTCTTGCGCGCCGAAGCCTATCAATTAAAAATGAAAACTGTTGCCAACGCGAGAAAAGAAATATCATCGGTTTTATTGATACATACGTATTAGCGTTTTATATAATATAGATATTTCTCGTTCAGAATTGTGCATTATGATAAATCAATTAAATGTACCTACCTGCTATAGTTCGCTTCAACTTAAATTGGCATATTGAACGAACGGATTATTTATCTACAGGAAGCGTTTATATGATGAAAAAAATCAACTTCAACTTTCCACACTAAAGAGCTTATTTTTATCAGAAAAATTTATCTTCAAAAATTGTCTTTCTGGGAATAACTCCCTGGGAAAGGTGTTATATGGATCATCGTATATGCAGAGACAACTAACAGCATCACCTGGTAGTAAACTGCCGAGTTTAAATTCCTAACTCAAGAACAGTTTGAAATGAGGGACACAAATAATATGCAAGTCCTAGAACATCATGAATTACGCATAGATGCCTAGTAAACATTAATGATAAAGAAAAGAACACTTAAAACTCGCATTTGTTTTTTCAAGATTTCTTACAACTAACTTACGGTTCTAACAAGAAAATTAGACAACTAGTTATCTGCAACTAAATTAAGCTAATTAAACAACTAATAAAATAAAATTAATCAACTAATTAAACAACTAAAATAACTTGTTATGGCCTATTCATGGTGGGGTAATGGGAGCCTGCAAACTTTAGCTGGGCATAAGATCCAGAAAAAGAATCCCGACCACTGTTCCGTTTTTAAGAGCGAGCTTATCGCCATTGATGATGGACTTGCCTCAATCCGATTCCTCTTTAAATTCCGAAAGAGATTTGGATCCTTGCCGACAGTAGAAGCGATGTTCAGCGCTTGACTAGCTGGTACAGAGTGAGGAACAATACTAGCACGAACATCCTTTATAAACTTTCACACCTCCCCAAATATTGTCGAATTCACGTACAATGGATACCCTCACACGTAGATATATCAGGCAATGAAATGGCAAATAGTCTTGCCAAGGCAGGTGCAGCTGAGGCCACTGCGCCTCCAGTGTCTCTTACCTCCTCAGAGCTCTTCTCCATTGCCAAAGCTAAAAATAAATCAGCATGGCTCACTCCACCCAGTCGCAATTGGTACCAGGGTACCAGACCGGGTAGCTATTTGACAGCTGACAAAGACCGTCAGTGTCAAACCACCATCACACGTCTCCGCTGAAACAACTGATATCACTGTGGTACTCTGGAGGAGAAAAGTGTTTTGCCCTCTGTACCAAGTGCTCTTTGGCCCAGGCATCCCCTGAACATCTACTGGACTGCCTCGGTCTTTTAAAACAAGACCTTATAGAAAGACCCTTACTTCTTTTAGACTTTTTGAAGGTGAACAAACTCATGGACCTTGTCTAGCTAGGCTAGAAATGGGGATTTGAAAGAAAGAAGAAGAAGAAGACTTGTTATGGCTTGTTTTTGAGTTCTTTTCTAAGATAATTTTTTTCATGTTATGGTGTAGGAAATATAGAACAAACTATGTCTATTTGGGCGTTTTTTTTTTCTTCTTTTTTTTAATTATAATAATTACGGTGAGCATATTCTTACTAAATCAGTAACACTCTACAACCTTGCAATTTACTTTTTTTCCCTCATCTAATACTGTTTTCGAGAAAGGAGCACTAACTCCCCATTTTACCACCAGGTGGCACTGTAAAAAAACTTATTTTCTAGCCATTTCACGATATCCAAACACCACTTTTACGACCCCAGATAAAGTAATTTAAAAAGTTAAGAAAGTAAGTGGGTTTCTTGATAATGCTGCCATTTTAAGTTGCCGCGAAGTATAGTTTATCATTGAACAGTTGTATTTCTAAAAAAAATCAGTTTATAATTCAATTTGACCCATTAAAATGTATGCTACTAAATTTCAGAAGCCTCTGGTACAGCCGGGAGACCTAAACTCCATGACAACCAAGTTTCACGATTGTGAAGTACACATGCCTGAAAAGCAGCACGGAGTCTTCTTGTGTGGAACATGGTGGTTTAGTAGGTTCCCGACTCGCTCCAAGAGGATAGATGTCTTCTCCAGAATACTATTTCCCTTAGCCTTTGCTTTGTTCAATTTATTCTATTGGACCACCTATCTACTGAGGGACGACAAGGACGATTACTGAACAATTTAAGTTTTGCCAAATCACGCCAAAATAATATGCAGGGAGATAAGAAAAGCTTGCCAAGATGAAGGGCAATGATACTAACAGATATCATTGTCACATACGATTGAAGAGCAGCTGCGGTCGTTGATGGTATCATAATACCAATATTTCACTTTTACGAACAAGATATGATGATGTCGAATTACCAATAGCGATTCTTAAATGTGTAAAATATCAGAAATTATCTGTATTATTAATATTTAACTGGTGGTGCAAGTTTAACATGGAGTCTAAACCATTGATAATCTGTCGTTATATTTATATTTAAAATGAGAAAAAATAAGTTCTGATGTGAAATCAATAAAACAGAATCAAAAAATTAGGTATAAAATCTAAGTTACTACTTCTATCAAGCAACTGATCAGTGATTGTGAAAGTTCATTTCCGTTTTCAAACCAAATTCAATATAACACATAAACACAGTACATTTTCGTAAAAATGATTGATTATTAATAATATTATCTGCAACTTTTTCTTTTAGATCTACCAGTATATTATAAGTCTTTTATTTTCTTAATCCACACTTTTTATGCTTAAAAATGTTAAGTGATTATTAATATTAAAAAGAAAATTACACAGCGTGCAAAAGTCTTTGGCCAAACTCAATATTCCAGATTTTTGATTCAAAATGTAGTTAAAATAATTCCATTTCTATACTTATTTAGCTTGCTTATCAACAAGAAAGCTAAATCAGTGCTTTGAAAATTTCGTTAAATCAAATACAACTTTCATATCTATCAGGTATTAAATGTTTTCGAGTTTGACGGTTGACATCAAAGTATTGAATGAATTTCATTGTTTAAGGCAATAATATTTAGATAAAATGTAATTTTGACAAGTAGGTTGCGCATAATTATCGTAATTTTAGAGTTAATTAGAGTCCTTGTTAATTATTATAATAATTTTATATGTATATACTTTATATGTAATTTTATATGTATATACAATTAATTTAATATTGGCATTTTTTTGTAGAGTTTGATCTTAAATGACTCGAAATATAAAAAAAGGAATATTTAGAGATTCAGAGATTCAAATTTTGTCGAAAGAAGGTTACATTTACAATTAAATAGTAAGAAGATTAACAAGTCCGAAATGAAGTGTAATATATATGTTGGCTCGATTAAGAACAATAGAAGCGAACTCTACAAAAAAAATGCAAATGACAGCTAAAATGCGATCCACGGTTGACTAAAAACTTTTGCTCGCAATTGTATGTTCGTTAACATAATTTATTTAAGGAAAAGTGTATAAAAAGGAAAAAAAATACTGCAAAAAAGAAAATAATAAATTGTAAACTAATTCATTTAACACTACTCAATTAACAATACAGGATGAAATAGAATTGCCCGAACAACTTTCAATATGCAGCGGTAAAAAGAATTGTCTGACAAATAATGAATAAGATCTCACGAATATAAGACTTAAAGAATATAAGACTTGAAGAATATAATACTTAAAGAATATAATACTTAAAGAACACAATACTTAAAGAATATAATATAATACTTAAAGAATATAAGACTTCAAAGAAAAATGCATTCGGATTTTGTTTCGAAAAACACGTGGGTTTTTTTTCCACGTGTTACTTAAAATTAATCTTATGAGTCTTACGCGTTTCTTTGGGTATTTTCCTGTATTACGACATTTTTAAAACGTTAATTCATTATTTATAGTATAAATTTCGTATCTATTGCATTTTTTTTTGTTATCTGCATTTGTTATCTCTTCAAATTTTTCATGTGTTGCTACTTTTTTGTTGAAAAAATTAATCTTCTAGTGTAACTGCAACATATACAATATCTGGGAGGAACATAGCTTTTCCTGTTTATATCAGGTTAACATAACGGCAAAATAATAACGATAGCTCTCTCTCTCTTCTGCAGTATTTTTTAACTTTTAAGCTCACTACTATCAATTAACATTAAAAGAATTTCGCAACAGTTCACAATTAAATTTCTACAATATTCATAACTTAGCCACGTGACCCCATGATACATGAATCACATGATTTGTTAGTTTTTGCAGCACAAACACCTTATATTCAATAAACTCACTCTGGTTTACTAGCAACCAGACCTTACTATTTTTTTATAAAAGAAATACTCGTTTTATTTTAATAGGTTAAATTTTTACTGACTTATATTTACTTTTACATTAAATTATTGCTTAGAAGATTAAATTACACCAGTTCATTTGTCACTATAATAAATTATCCATGTTAAGTACCTATAAAATTGCGAAACCTCTACTCAGTAAGATTGAATTGCACCAGTTCATTTGCCACTATAATAAATTATCCATGTTAAGTACCTATTAAAATTACAGAACCTCTACTCAGTAAGATTAAATTACATCCGTTCATTTGTCACTATAATAAATTATCCATGTTAAGTACCTATTAAAATTATCGAACTTCTACTCAGTAAGATTAAATTACACTCGTTCATTTGTCACTATAATAAATTATCCATGTTAAGTACCTATTAAAATTATAGAACCTCTACCCAGTATTAACATTGGTAATTTTAACTGCCATTAATTAAATATTTTCTAGTTCTATCATGGCTCTATGCGACATTACTAAAAGGTAGAGATACATCAGTAGAGACACTTTTATGTAGCTTTTGATTACTGAATTATAATCGAATTCTAAAAAATTAGTGAGGAGGATTTTAGCCAAATATTCTTTCGGCTCGGTACTAAAATAACACCTACTTTTGACTGATCCTAGGTTCTTAAAGCGAAAGCATAATGTGATATGATTAAATTTTGGGAAATATAAAATATATATGTGTATATATATATATATATTTTATGTCTTAACTAAAAGATAAATATTCTACTGAAGAGCCTACTTTTCTTCCAAATAGCTGCCAAAGTGTATTAAAATAGCCTTAAAGAAGACAAGCTTTTCTTAACTCCTTGCAAACTACGCAGATACTACGATAAGTGTAAAAGAAAACTAAAACAATGGAATCAAAGCGAGAATGTAATGCCGATCTTGCCCGATTCCAACTTTTATGATAACATGAATGTTACATTTTAATTTCCTAAGTGTATGTTTGGGTTTTTCCTCAGATCAGCAGCGTTCTGAAATTTGCAGCCAAACATGAGATTAAGCGAGTAACTTGCAAAGTTTTTCATGAATTGATGCTTACGCTGCTGCAGGAAAAGATATATTTATATATAAATATATACATACAAATATATATATATTTGTCTTGTGAGAAATGAGTTTTTGTATAAAATGTATGTTTGTCCTTCGCTAGTTGTGATCAACTTTGATGGAATTGTAAAAAAAAAAATTAAATATGTATGTAGTATGTAGATACTGGGCTCAATAGGGATTCGGATTGATTTTTAATGGCGCCAAGAGGAAAAATTCTTATCTAATTATTCAAACAATTTAAAATTTTTCTGTAATAAAATGATAAGGAAAAATTTTCCTTGTACAAAACAATTAAAAGTGGGAAAAAGACCCCACATGAATTAAATCAAAAAAAATTTACATTGAAAAAAAAAAATTTTAATTTGAGATTTTCGTTTTGTTTGAATGATTGGGAAAAACAGTTTCCTTAAACGCAACTTTAAACGAAATAATAATAATTTTAGAAACATTTACTAATGACTATTTGGAACTTTTTGATTAGAATTAGAAATTAATAACTTTTTAATTATCATTAAAAATATAAAATTTTTTGATTAACATCGCAGATATAGAGCTTTTTTATTAGCATTAAAAATTCACATCTAGCAAATTAGCATTAAAGCTACAAAACTTACTATTTAACATTAAAAAATTTAAAATAGTGCAATAAAATCATAATACTCGTTAGTCATAATGGATTTTACTGAAGATTAGATAGATTATTTTCTATATTTTTAACAATAAATATCATTAAATACGATCTGCAATTTTCTTTCAAAAAATATTTTTCATTAGAAATATAAATTCCACCATTTAATTCTGAAAAAATATAAATACGTACATTATTGATTATTAAAATTAATATATCATTAATATTAATTATTATTATATATTATTAATGTAAATGTATTATTAAAATTAATGAGTTAATTCTATTACGTATATTATAAGCAAACAAAATAAACCTTTACTCATCGAAATTCCTTTTTATGCGGATACTTTTCTTTTTGCAACTTTAGTTTGTAGAATTATAAATGTAATGTGTTATAATATATAAATATAGCTAAAGAATAATATGATTTAAAAACTAATATTATTACACTTCTAAAAATATCATTTTATTCACTTAACTTTTCCATAATTTTAACTGAATTTACAAATGTTAAGTATTTTTCGCGTTTAAATCATAGCGAAATCTCTGAAATCTGCACACTTGATCTGATTCTGTTCGTTACAAAAAATATTCATTAATAAAATGTAACTCTTAGCACGGAGAGAAAACATCTAGTTAAATTACCGTACTGTAGGGCGGTAACATTTCTGTTTATGCGTCGTAAAATTTACTTACTTCTTAAATGCATAAAAAAAAATTAAATCACGTGATGCCTGATAGAAACTTCATATTCGCAATCCTTGAGTTTATATAGTTTTGTTATCTGATAAGCTATCAGGTGCTGTTAGGCTTATGTGTCATAAATTTTACTTACTTCTTCAATTCATAAAATCTCATTTGCTTTTAAAAATTAAAGAAAGCTGTGCTGGAACTAATAAAAAGTATAACATTTATTTTAAGAGCAAGAAATTAATAATTTTTAATATCGATAAAATGAATAATATAAGTTGTAACTCATCGAATCATGTCATTTCTTTTAAACGAATTAATTGTCAATTTGAAACGTTCATTGCACTACAATGAATTCAATTCGCTAAAAACTAGTTCAAGCTAATTTCTTTTCTTTTAATGTAATCGATTATTGGAAATCTGTATTATTTTCAATTTATATTTATAATAATCAATTAAAAAACGTGAGCCCAAACAACAACTACCATTTTCTTAAAGTAAACGTGTTGTGCAAGGAATGGAGCGAAGGAACATTTTGTTTTATTAAAAATTGTATTACAAATACTACATGATCAATTGTATATTGCTTAAAAATGTAAACATTGTTGTTTAATCGTTTAAAGATATATTTTGAACGATGTGTGGAGGTGTACTCAAACGGCTAGCAACAACATAAAGTGGTGGAGAAATCCCTATATTGTTCATCTTTCAGTGTTCATCAACTTGTTAAGAAATATTTCATATCATACTCGCTACTGGTGTTAAAATTTTATATTTTCTTAAACCAATTTAAGTTAAAAACATTCATAAACTATGAACATGTTATTCTAAAGAGCACATGGAATCGTTTAAAAAGTTTCATTTATCGAACTTTCTTCTCTGGTATCTTCTGAATAGAGTCTAAACAATTTCGTTGTGATAACCAAACTTAGAAGAGGTTGGTTAAAATTCAATTCCCCAATATAATTTCTCTGATAAATTATTAAATTATTTTGACGATAAAATGGTTAATAATGTTAACAGTAAAACGGATAATGGTAAAAAGTACCAGATCTCAGTACTTTTACCGTTAAATCTATTTTTCCCATAACAGTTTAAGAAACAAAAAAATCTGATACACCGTGATTTTTATATACAATAATATTTACTGTAAAATCACTGAAACATTGTAATTAAATAAAGATTACTGTAAAAGTTACTGTATTGCATTTTAATGGTAAAATCAATTTTACAGATACTGCATTCAGGGTGCTAGTACTTTTTACCTTAATTCAATCTGGATTTTTTTACTGTATACTTTTTTGCATATAGATTACTAACTGACCGATAAATTTTAAAATCTGTACTTGCGTGCGCATTTCATAACTATGGCATATCATCTAAGTATTGGGTACATGGTTCAAAGTACACAATATGCCTTACCAGTGAGGAAGCCTTGGAAAACGCTTATAAAATATTCCAAAATGCTGAAAAATGTACTATCTTTCCTTGATTTTAAAATTTTTAAATAACACTTCTGCTGACAATGTCTTAACTCTCGGAACTTAAAAGAGAAGTCAGTACTGCCCTTGAGTTCTCGATTCCTGCATAAGACCTCTGGCTCAGTTCAAAATAAGAGAGCATGATCTTGATCCGACGGGTTCCCGTGCCACAGGTCCTGGGTTCGATCCTCGGGCCGAGCAAGGTTGACTCAGTCTTTCATTCCTTCAGTAGGTCGATAAATGAGTACCAAGCATGCT